GTGCTCAATACACTGAGGTTATGAGCCTCAGTGAAGGAATGAGGAGCCGAAGCTCAATAGCTCCTTGGGGTGGGCCCTATTCCAATTCTGCAGTCTGCCCTGGTCTGGCCTAAGCTAAACTAGCTCTTACTAAGAGAAGCAGCTGGACAGACATAGGGGTAGAGGGGGAAAAAAAGGCCAGTTACCCATTTGCATCAGCCAGGTGCAGTAAGACCATCTCAGGCAGCTGTGAAGGCAAGAGGCAAGTAGGTGGCACAGAGTCATACTACTTAGTGATGAGAGAAAGCTGTTGCCAGCTTTTTCTTCTTACTATTTTATTTTTTGCTGTTGATTGCTGGTTTCTTTTCTGTCTCTCTTGTGTGTGTGTTTTCTCTTTTTGTCTCACCTGATATTGTTGTTGTTGTTGGGTGCCATCAACACAGTACCTGATAGGAGCCAGCAAATGAGGCTATACAGTCAGCCACAGCCATACCCTCTACAACTCCACAAATTGGGCTGCAATCAAAATCAGTTACTATACACTGGACCACTGACAACAATCACATCAGCCAAATCCACTCTGAATTGAACTGCACGATCAGTGAACAGAGAACAGAGCACAAGTTCATCTCCTGATCACACGCACCAGGAGGCAGGTGATATGTGCCTAAGAATATACCAACATACATTCATCAACTTAATAAAAATACAACTTAATACAAAAGCAACACAATTCCTTGAAAGTAGCAGATAATTTTGGTTCACATGAAGAAACAAGACAGAGTAGCTTAAATAAATGACCAAGAGGAAGAGCTTTAAAATGTTATTGATGAAAAGGAGGTAATGGAACTACCTGAAAAATAATTCAGAAGAATGGTATTTTATGTACCTTCAAATGATTGATAGAAAGGTCAAGGAAAACAATGAAAAATTCAGAAAAGCACTATATAAACAATCAAATAGAATAAATGATTGGAGACAATATAAAACTTACAAATAGAAATCCAGAAGATTAATACTAAGATATCAGAAATGGGCAATACATTGAAAGGGCAAAAGACTAGATTTGAGTCAATGGAAGCCAGAATTGGTGAGCATAAAGAAATAAATCTCTCAATACTAGTGAGCTAGAAGAACAATTAGAAAGATAGCTGAACAAACTCCAAACAAAAATGACCCCAAAAGAAAATTACTAAGGCATATCGTAGTCAAATTCCAAAATCAAAGACAAGGCGGGAATCATGAAAAATGAAATGTTATCCACAAAAGAAAACCAGTAAGATTAAGCTCTGATTTCTCAGCAGAAACCATGCAGGCAAGTAGGCAATGGAGAAATATACATAAAAGCCTGAAAGAAAAACACTGCCAATCAAGAATCATGTAATTAGGAAAACTGTCCCTCAAATATGACAGCAAAATTACATCATTTCCAGATACACAGAAATTAAAAGATTTTTTTAAAAAAACTTAAGTCAACTACAGAAAATACTAACGGTAGTCCTTTGGACTAGAAATAACAACAGCAGACAACATCAGAGACTGACATATATGACAACACCACCCAGAATTCAATCTGTATGCTGAGCAAATAATCCAAAAGGCTGGATTATATGAAGCACATCGTGGCATCAAGATTGGAGGAAGACTCATTAACAACCTGCGACATGTAGATGATACAACCTTGCTTGCTGAAAGTGAAGAGGAATTAAATACTTACTGATAAAGATCAAAGACCACAGCATTTGGTATGGGTTGCACCTCCTCACCAAAAAACAAAAATCTTTACCACTGGACCAATAAACAACATCCATATAAATGGAGAAAAGATTGAAGTTGTCAAAGACGTCATTTTGCCTGATCAACACTCAGAGAAGCAGCAGTCAAGAAATCAAACATTACGTACATAAGCTGCACAAGACCTCTTTAAAGCGTTCAAGAGCAAAGATGTCTGTTTGTAGACTAAGGTATGGCTGACCCAAGCTCTAATATTTTCAATAACCTCATATGCATGTGAAAGCTGGACAATGAATAAGGAAGACTGTAGAGGAATTGATGCATTTAAGCTATGGTGGTGCTGGAGGAGAATATTAAGAATACCAAGGACTGTCAAAATAACAAATAGATCTGTGTTGGAAGAAGTACAGCAAGAATGATCCCTGGAAGCCAGGATGGCTAGACTTCATCTCTTATTCTTTGGAAATATTATCAGGAGGGACCAGTCCGTAGAAAAGGATATCATGTTTGGTAAAATAGAGAAAAAGGAAGACCCCCAATGAGATGGATTGGCACAGCAGCAGAAGCAATGGGTATAAATGTAGCAATAATTGTGAGGCTGGCTAAAGACCGGTTAGTGTTTTCTTCTGTTGTGCATAAGGTCGCTATGGGCTGTTACTGACTTGATGGCACCTAACAACAACAAACTGACAAAGATGTAAAATTCTCTCTATTTGCAGATGATATGATCCTATACATAAAAATCCCAAAGACTCAGCAAGAAAATTATTGGAATTCACTGAAAGATTCAGAAAAGTGAATAGGTACAAGATCAATATATAAAAATTAGTTGGAGTCCTCTAAACTAAAAAACACAGCTCTGAAAAGGAAATTAGGAAAATATCATTAACAATCATTGTTGTTATTATGGGTTCTGACATATTGCAGCCATGTATAGGGTTTTTGAGGTGTGTCCATTACAATTGTTGCTGTTGAGAAGTGCCGTTGAGTCGGTTCCAACCCTGTCTAGGGTTTCTGTGGAGCAGCTGGTCCATTACAATAGCCATCCAAAAAATGAAATACTAAGGAATAAATCCAACCAGAGAAACAAAAGACCTATATAAAGAAAACTACAAAAAACTTCTAAAAGAAACCAAAAGAGATTTATAAAAATGGAAGAATATACCATGCTCATGGATAGCAAGACTTAACATTGTGAAAATGTCAATATTACCTGTTGCGGACCATGTAAGACTGGTCAGAGGTTCGAGGCCCTATAGGCCCGAGTGTAACAAATGAGGCCACTGGCAGTTAATGGCAAATTGTTTTTTATCTTAATATTGTTACATGTATTAATTTAATACACGGAGCTCTTGATAATCCACATATAAATGTGATATTTTCCTAAAGCCTAAGATTAAAAGTTGCAAGGTCAAGCCTTTCTCCAAAAGGATTAACTAAAAATATCTTAGCTACTTCTCGGTTCTTTGTTCTATAGACAAAGAACCCATCCTCCCTAATCCTTTTCCAGGTACAGCTCCTGCAGACCTGGCTCAGGAAGCCGAAACAGCGGGACTCGGCCCAAGATTTTGTCCTTACCTCTCACCTTCCCCCACCTGAGCTCAGGGGCTACAGATATGTTAATTGGGCCTGAGAATCCAAGTTGCTGGCCTGGGATTCAAACCAGCGAAGTACGATGTAAAGTTACCTGAATGTCTGGAAAAGTACTGATATTAGCTGTACCTTGCCTAAGTCCCTCCCAGCTTGGTGTGAAGCTCCTCCCCTAAATAAAACAGGCCCGGGCCTCCCCAGGTGTGCATTACGGGTTGGAAGGCTTGCAGTAAAGACTGCAGTGCATTACAAGATGGAAGGCATGCAGTAAAGATTGCAAGGCAGTGAGTTGCTGCCTGCAGAGGCCACGATGCCTGTACTCCCAAGCCTGCCCACCAGTGATGTATCCACCCTGGCTTTGGGGTGCCTCATTGTCTCTCTCTTTGTCTCTTTCTGTGTATTCTTGCTATATATTTATCGCCGTCAGGTATCTCCTCCTCGTGAACCGAACCCCTATGTCGAGGCAGGTCCCCGACAATTACCCAAGACAATCTGTAGGTATACTGCAATCCCAAATCCAGATTCCAACATCATTCTTTAAAGAGATTAAAAAAAATGATCATGAACTTTATAAGTAAAAGAAAGAGACTTTAGATAAGCAAAGCATTGCTTAAGAAGGAAAACACTCCCTGATCACTACACAGTCATAGTAGTCAAAACAGCCTGGTACAATGAAAGACCCATAGATCAATGGAACACAACTGAGAACCTAGAAGTAACCCATCCAACTGATCTTTGTCAAAGGGCCAAAACACATTAAATGGGGAAGAGATGCTCTCTTCAATAAATGGTGCTGGCAAAACTGGAAATTCATTTGTAGGAAATTAAACAGAACCATATCTCACACCATATACAAAAACAAACTCAACATGGATTAAAGACCTAAATGTAAAACCAAGAACTATAAAAATCATCATTGAAAAAACAGGGACAAACTTAGAGGCTCTAGCACAAGGTATAAATAAATATACTATCAAACATTATAACTGTTAATAACAAATACTTGATACTTATGTATTTATGGTGTTAGAGTAGAATATTAACAGTTCCATGGACTGCCGGAAGGACAAATAAATCTGTGTTGGAAGAAGTCCAGTCAGATGCTCATTAGAAGTCAGGATGGTGAGACTACATCTCTCACACTTTAGACATATTATCAGGGGGAACCAGTCCTTGGAGAAAGACATCACTTTGGTAAATGGAGGGTCAGGGAAAAAGAGGAAGATCCCCAATAAGATGGATTTGTACAGTAGCAGCAACAATGGGCTCACGTATAGCCATGATTATGAGACTGGCGTTAAGACTGGTAAGTGTTTGTTCTGTTGTACATCAGGTTGCTATGAGTCAGTACCGACTCGATGGTACATTACAACAAATATATCCTACAGCAATAACAATATATCTGACATATAGGAACATTTGCTTAGTGGTGACTGGTAATGGAGAAAAAGTTTACCTTCTTTTTAAAAAGGATTATTCTTTTAGCCTATAGTGCATATCAGACATAAAATAATAATAAATACTTCATATATGAGGGGGTTTCAAAAAGTTCATGGTAAAATGGAATTACACTATAGCAGAATTAATTTTTCCATGAACTTTTTGACGTTTCCTCATAGTAACCTTTTATTGCTTCACATGTCCAATCATTTAGGAATACCAATTTTATGCTGATAAAAAAACATAGGGTTAACAGCTCTATGTAATCCATACCTTGAAAGGAAAGCACTGACGTGAGAAGCCCCAAAGTTTCACTAGATTTGAAAACGTTAGCTAATACTATTGTCAGTGTTCAAAGCCCCAAGAAAGGGGTTAACATCTTTCTGAAAAATAAAGGTCAAATATTTACTGGCTCTAAAGCTAAAGATGGAGTCCTGGTATGGTCCTGTGGGTTAATGCACTGGACTCCAAGGTTGGTGGTTTAAGTTCACCAGCTGCTCCTCTGAAAACTTATACAGGGTTGCTATGAGATGGTATAGACTTGACGGCACTTAACAACAACAACAACAAAGGTGAAGATTTTAAAATATAAAATCATTTTTAATTTTCTAGAATGCAGGGTTCTGTGAGTTTACTTGGCTTTGCATAGCATTCAGTATACATATGAATATTTACTATTATTTCATTATAAAATTTCTAAATAAATCAAGAGAACTACCTCCAAACTATTTCAAATCAAGCTAAAAAGCATATCATTTTATTGGAGAGATATCTTAACACAATTCAATGTTCATGGACTATAATGTTGAAGTCAGTCTGCTAAGTACTATAATTAAAAAGACACTGTTATTAATCTTAAGAATTTATAGTTTGAGAAGATGAACATAGCTTTTCTCCCATGAAAACAAGCAGCAATAGGTAGTTATAACAGTAGTTATTAATAATAAAACATCATAATAGTTAATACTTCTTAAGCATATGAAAGTCAAGCACTACAATAAACATTTTAACATTCCTTATTTCAATTCCCATAACAACTATGAGGTGAATACAGTTAATAGTCCCATTTTATAAATGATAAAATTGAGGCATAGAGAGACCCTAGCAAGGGTTAGGCTTAAGATATAAAACCATGCAGCCTAACTCTAAAAGTTGAATACTCAATCACTATTGCTCCTTATTTAGATATTAGCTCTTATCATAACTTAGCATAAAAAAAAAAAAATGTATAAAGAAATACATACTTATTAATCTTTTCCTTAGACCACTAGGTGCTGCTGAAAGATATTTACTTTCGTCACTGCTCTGTTAAAAAAAAAAGTTAGTCAATAATGACATAGAAAATTAATGACTGGTCTTAAAATTTACTGGTGTTAAAATATATTCTGTGAAGTAGAGAAACAGGAACTTATACTTTTTACTTTCTTACATTTTAGTTTTAAAATATTTTATACAAAAAATTAAAAATTGTCTTCCTGTGTTTTTCTTCCTCACAGAATACTTTAATACCATTAGGTTTCTAGTACATTAAAACACCCACTGCTGTACACATGTTAATTTTTAATATCACTAAAAAGTATCATGGTTTCTTTCTTTTTTTTTTGGCCACAAGAACATAGGGCAAAAAATCTTAAGTCTGTTTTCTTGTGATAAACTGTTGGTACTAGTTACAAATGTCAATAAATTTTGATTTGAAATGTCTAATGTTTTAAATCAAGATTCTCATTTTTTTAAATATATATATTTTGCTATCTTGACCCAGTAACATATGTGTATATATAACTGAAACAAATTAAGATGAAAAAAATACTTCAACAGAAGATTTCATTTTGCTCTATTTTATTATTTTTTTAATGCAGGTCATGTCCTACTAAACTGATTTCAAGACTGAGACAACCTGCACCCACATAGCTTAGTGAAGGCACCTGTGTCCAAACAACAATTTGTTTCAGAAAATTCCTTGTTCAAGAAAATAGGCTGTCAGATAATAAACAACTTGAGTGTTTACTACAGGAAATTTCTGCAAACTAGCTTATCTAACTGAACAGTTCACTCATTTGGGTAACGCTTTCTCACATCAGGGTAACAGGCAACTCACCAAGGCAAATAACTGGCTTATTTATGAAGACTCAGTTCAGGTATCATGAACTTTGCCACATCAGTTCCCCATCTTAAAAGACCTTCCTTATGTTACCTGAACCCAGATCCCGAATCCTATACATATCTTCCCCTGAACACCCTCTTCTGAGGTACTACACTAATATTCTGTCATGGTGATGGTGTTCCTTATTACAGTAGGTCTAATAAACGTAACTTTGAGCAAAAGGTTTTTTGGAGGTCTTTTGGTAGTCAACAAGATACACTAATGATTCTGAGCTACAACTTCAAAAACAATAGACTATATTTTTATTCAGTTATAAAAATGATTTTTATTCTCTTACAATTATACAATGTTACTGTTTTTGTGAAGTGCCGTGAGTAGGTTCCAACTCATAGCAACCCGTATAGGGTTTCCAAGGCTTTAAATATTTGCAGAAACTGAGAGCCTCATCTTTCTCCTGCAGAGCAGCTAATGAGCTCAAACTACTGACCTTGTGGTTGTCAGTCCAGAAGTTACCCTATGGAGCCAATTATAAAGCACTATATATATATTAAGAGATGAAATGGTTATTTTTTTTTTATCATGTCTTACTTTGCAACATTTAGATTTTTGTTCTTAGTCAATTGCTTACCTTTAGCTGAACTTTGTCTGAAGCAGAATGCCCTAAAGAATGAAACAAAAATTCATGACTTACTACAAGTACTTCATGGTTAGCAATGGTTTACTTTCATTAAGGAGTTCTGCTCTGATGCTGTGGGTTAATGCACAGACTGCAAAGCCATTTAAACTGCAAGGCTGACGGTTCAAGCTCACCAGCTGCTCCTTGGAAACCCTATTCAGGGTCACTATGGGTTGGAACCGACTCAATGGCACTTAACACAACTTTCATTAAAAGCAAAGTTGTAGCTTCTGCACAGAGGTGGGAATGGTAGCGGTGGTTGTGTGCCAGAGTCGGTTCAGACTGATATAGACCCTGTATAGGGTTTCTGAGGCTCTAACTCTTCACAGGAACTGAAAACCTCATCTTTCTGCCACGGGGCAACTAGTAAATTCGAACTACTAACCATTCAGTTAACAACCCAGTTCATAATGCATTATACTATCAGGGATCCTTCCTACACAGAATGTTGTTACTGTGCTGTTGGTAAATGCCGTCAAATTGGTTCTGACTCACAGTGACCCTGTATAGGGTTTCTAAGGAGCAGCTGGTGAATTTGAACTGCTGACCCTGTGGTTCAAACCGACTTTGCAGTCCAGTGCATTATCCTGTAGCACCACACATAGGAAGCTATGTATTATTAAATTCCCAGCTAACATCTTCACTCAAGGTGGAATTTTCATTTTAATTTCATGATTATTTGCATTAGTGACAGCTACTTCTTGTATTTTTATAATATTAAAGTAATTAGAAAAAAATGAAGGCTTTTTCTTTGTTGATTATTAAAAAGTACTATTTAATTTAGTTGGAATCTTTCATGAACATCCAGCTAACTCAAGCAAATGACAATGACACTAAATTTTTGTAGTTGGTCCTGTCAATTCATTTAGCAGATAATTTCCTCTTTTATTGACTGCTGATTACAGATACACTAAGGTAAACAAATTGAAGTATTAACTGCATTTTGTTAAATGAATTTACAGAGAAGAATATATAAACATTTACTAACACAAGTAAAATAAATAACATTCTGCAACTTAAAAACTCTCTCAAAGAACTGAGATAAAGTCTTACCCTTGCTACTTTGAGGCGTGTTTATTGTTATTTCAGGATCTTCCTTCAAATTACATTGAACATTTTTTCTTGGTGTTTTTGCTAGTTCTGAAGCTATAAATAGACAAAGTAAAAAAAATAATAATAATAAACATTTCATGTACAATAGCAGATAAATAGCCTAATTTCACTTATATAAGTGCTTTTACAAAACTGCCTGCCATTTTTATCAGAAAGATTAACAAACATACCAGGAGCACATTACCCAACAAATAAGGTAAGCACGGGCTTACTAACCTGTGGTGAACAACTTCATACGTTTTACTAAATCAATGACATGAGACTATTCATATTCACTACAGACTAGTAAGTAAGCATATGTAAGCCCATGCTTACCTATTTGCTGGCTATCCCTATTAGGGACCGTAAATTTGAAAAGAGCTTTTATTCTGTAGAAAAGGTTCTGTGGGGTTGGACAACAGACAGATGCTAGCCATACCTACAAGTAGTCTTTGAGGTAATGAAAAAATGTCTAACTGTTCACCACAGATTAGTAAGGTTGCACAAATAGCCTGTGCTTACCTTGCTTACTGGGTAATCTGACAATGAAACCTACCCATATTAATGAAGAGTACTTCTGCATTCTGTGGAATAGAACTTCACACTCATCGGGAACCTAGATTTACAGGATTTACTAAGTCTGCAGGAATGCCTCAATCTAATCATCCCAAATAAGTTTTAAAATTTGAACAGAAACTATCCCATGAATCATCGTTAAACTATGCAACAATTTAGCTGAATTAAAGAATGTTTGTCTTGAGCATTTGTTGCTGTTGTTGTTAAGTGCCACTGAGTTGGTTCCACTCACTGCTGCCCTATACAATAGGGTTTCTGAAGAGTAGCTGGTAGGTTTGAATCACTGACCTTTTGGTTAGCAGTCCAGTGTTTATCCTACAGCGCTATACTTGAGCATAGCACTCATTTAGCTATATGAGTGTAAACTGAAACTGATGGCAGTTAATCTAAAGCACTTATGAGAACTTTAAGCGGTAGAGATCCTAAATTAATGGTGATGAAATAATATGGGTGGAGAGAATGGTGACATGATGGGAAGTCCGTAAACCTGTGCATGCATGAACTGGAGCACGAGCAGCAATACTTTTGAGTTGCCCTTGGCTGTGTGGGTGTGCATACATATCTGAGTATCAGATGAAACAGTCTGTATTTAGCAGCGAATTTAAATACAACATTTAAGATATTGACAATGTGAAAGGCATGTAGGAAGGAAGCCCAAGTGAGGACACAGATTTATATCTCCCAAATTAACACTCGCAGTGGGACATCACTTAACTGAGTAGAAAGGAGCACATTATATTTAAATTGTCTCCTGCCTTTCCTTTTTAAAATAGAGGCGATATAGTTGAATTTGTATATAAGTTAAAAGCATGTGATACAATACTATTATACTGCACTGGACCACAAGGTCAATTTGTGGTTCAAACCTTCCAGCTGTGAGTTGGAATCAACTCGGCAGCATTTAACAACAACTGGTAGTCAGTCCATTGCTCCTTCACTGTTCTCATCTTCCCCAGCAATCTACCTGCAGGAATTCCTAAGGCCAAGTCTTTGGTTCTTGCTCTGTGTCTATTTTTACTGTGATAATATAAATAAATAACAAAAACATTTGCCAGTTCAATATTTTCTATGTATACAATTCATTTTCTGATTTTACAAAGCCTTCCAATTCTTCAGGGTCTGTCTAGCCCTAAATATTGGTTAGCCTAATTATATGTAATCATCATTAAATAAACGTTCTTAGTCAATATGAAGGAGCCTTGGTGTCACTTTGGGCTAAGTGTTGGGCTGCTAACTGCAAGGTTGGTGGTTCAAACCCACCTGCTGCTCTGCAGGTGAATGATGAAACTAATTGTTCCCATAAAGGTTTACAGTCTTGGAAACCCTATATAGGGTCGTTATCAGTTGGAATGAACTTAATGGCAGTAGGTACCTAGCTAGCTAAAATATGTTTTTAGAAGTGATTGGTTAAGTATATATATATACATGTATATTTTAAGGTATTAAAAAAGGAATTTTTATTGAGAGCAAGAGGATGCAAACAATATAAAAATCAAAAGCTTATCTGGTTTGGCTTCCTAAACTAAGGTGGTAATAAAGGCACAAAGTGACTGGCTTACAAGTTTTCAAGAGGGAGTTTAGTTTAAGAGTGTGCGGGGGAAGGTAGAATCCCCACTGAATAGTTTTCATCTTGTCTAGATGGGTCTGGTGAAAGGAGATGGGGATAAGATTTTTATAATTCAACAGTGAATAATTGTTATCATGACTAATTGAGACTGTCCGAACTGTAAAGGTAGAAGTTTTGTAACAAATATGGGGGAGTAGTTAATCTTACAGTCCAGGAACAGAGGACCCTAGGACCAACAAGGGAGAAGAGCATGAGCAGAATGTGGGGCCCTATCCAGAGAAGCAGTGACACCTGAGATGGAGGCAGAGATGAGGACACGGAGAAAGGGAACAGCTGAAGACTCTAGACTCATGGAAAGAAAAAAGGATGTATGCTGGCAGCCAGGAGGCAGGCTTGCAGAATGTGCCCTTTCGTTGTTTAAATTATTATATATACCTGAGTGTTTCTGTGTTCACCACCCCCCCACCTACACACACACACACACAAAAAAAACAGAGGAAATAGAAGCAAATACTGTTGAGTGATGATGAACAGAGGAGATAATAATCATTGCAATGCAACAATGAGTGTAAAGCCAACGTTCTCCCATGTAAACTATCACTCACAATAAAAACTTAAAAAAACAAGACTTAACAGAAATAAGGGGGAAAAAAGGTTACCTGGTGTTGAACTGACTTTTCTTTCTCTACTTGTCAAATGGAAGTTGGATTTTACTTGTACACATTTTAAAGGGTCCTGATCTTTACACAGAGGAAAGCTGTGGGGTAGATCCCTTAAGCAGCTCTTTGGGATAACTCTTATCAGGGTGGGAGTGATTTCCTCAATTCTGCCTACATTCTTTGGGATAACTCTTATCAGGGTGGGAGTGATTTCCTTGATTCTGCCTACTTCTACTTCTTTCCCTTCTGCTTCATGTGTACTACAAAATAGTCGCTGCAGGAATTGGTGAGTCCAGCAATGAGCAAAAGAAAATTCTGGAAGCTCACTGTGCCATCTCGACACTGGCTCAGGTCCTTCATTATTTTGTTCATGGCCAGGGGGTCTTTTTGGTTTTCCAAAAATCCAGGGAACTCCTTTTCCATAAGAACCCTCAGGTTCTCTTTCGTTAAGTAGCATTTATCACCAGCAAATTTGTGAAATGTGAACATCATCATTTTCATGGCATGTTCCATGTGAGATGGCATTTTGGTGAGGACTGTTAGAATCTTGGCCAGGCAGCAAAGGGCAGACACTCAGCAAGATGGGACGCAGGGCTAGTCTTAAGTATATCTTCTTAACAGTGCTGCTAAGTCTATTCCAACTCACAGTGACCCTGTAGGACAGAGTAGTTCCCTGTAGGAACTGCTCCTAGGGTATGAGGTTGTAAATCATTATGGAAGCAGAAGGCCTCATATTTTTCTTCCACAGAGCAGCTGGTGGGTTCAAACCATTGACCTTCACATTAATAGCCTAATGCTTAAGCCACAGTGCCACCAGGATTCCTCATACCTTCTTAAAGAAGGTAAACAGTGATTACCGAAATAAGAAAAGCAACATACCTAGTTTAGTCATCTTTTCAGAGTGTTTCCTGTTTTGAAAAGAATAAACTTTATTTCCACTATCTGCAGCAGAGCCATTTTTCAAGGATTCTGAAAGAGAAAATGCAACATACATTTAGGGGAAAGGAAAAAGCCATAAAACTTAAGTTAAAAACTTACTATTTGTATCCCATTGCCTTGCACAAAGGTGTCTTTTTAACAATACATATCCTGGTGTGGCAGCACTGTGAGATAAAGCACTAGACAGCAAGGTCAATTTGAACCACAAGGTCGGCTATTCAAATTCACCAGCCACTCCTTGGAAACCCTATACAGGATCACTATGAGTTGGAACCAACTCCAAGGTACTTAACAACATCTCAAATAAAACATTTGAAAAAGGAAACAAGAGATCACAACAGAGGACTATATCAGAACTTGAAGGAGCTACACTAGTGATGTGGTAGCTGCTGTTGAGACCAATCTCACCAAGATGAAGCTATATTTTCAGTTCAGCTCTGACACAATACTGCTCTATTTCATGGTCAGAGATTTAACCCAGAAGTGGCCATCATTTTTTAAAATTTATTTGTTGTTAAGTGCCATTGAGTTGATTCCGACCCATAGCGACCCTGTATAGGGTTTCCAAGGAGCAGCTGATGAGCTTGAACCACCGACCTTGCAGTTCAAACGACTTTGAAGTCTGGCGCATTAGCCCACTTACTTAGATGACCCCAAATTACGTATCAGTGGAGAAAAAGACTACTCAGTTTTTGGAAAAATCTAGAAGTACATAATTCATTCTCTATCTCTCACCTGACATAAAATTAAAAAGTACTAAACTTCATTAAAAAAAACTGGTGAATATATTTACAACTTTGAAGCAGAAAAAGATTTAAGTAAAGACACAACCCACAAATTAACATGAAACTAGACTGGCAAAAAAAAAAAAAAATGTTTTAATCGAAATTAAATCAACATTGGTTGACATACAGAAAAATGGGAACTCTTACATACTACCTGTATAAGCCTCTAGAAATATAGCTTATAGATATCTAGCAGATATACATAAAGAGACAGATACAAAGGTGAATTTTCTTGATTTCTGATGCAAAAAAATGAAAATACAAATGTTCCTCAATAAGGAACTTGGGAAATAAAAGATAGTATAAGGAGCTCTGGTAGTGTAGTGGTTACGAATTGGGCTGCGAACCTTAAGGTCAGCGGTTCGAAACTACCAGCTGTTCCGC